ATGATGACCTTACAACCTGCCTCATCTTTAACAGTTTTCCTATCATTTTGTCTTCTCACAAAGAGCACCTTGTGCTTAAGATTTATTCCTTGCAAGCTAAACTCTTTTTTCAAGTCTAATCTTGCTTAACAAGTTACTTTTTATTATGGGAAGCTTTTTATGCGTTGTTTGTTCTGTCAAGCCCAAATAACTGCTGACATTCTAATCATGAGGCCCCTTAGAAAAAAAAAAAAAAGGCTTTCACTTAAAAGCAATCTTTTCATTTGCCTATAAAGCAATTTTATATATATATTATATTTAAATCATTTTAATATAAAAATAGCCTGCCCACATTTTAAATATTGCAGAGAATAAAATAGATAAAGCTGTCCTCTTCAGATTTTAATCATTCCCTCTCTTACTTAAATCTGAATTTAATATATTCCTACAGCACCAGCTTTCTTTACTAGTTCTTCCCAAGCCCTGAAGAAGGAATTTAAAAAACAGAGACCAATCTCCCTCTTCTAACATGAAAACTACATTTTGTTGTAGCCATATATAAAAATCAAATTCTATGGGGAAGCCGTTTCTAAGGCCAATGTGAATTTAGCACACCATGTTCGTGTATATATTTTTTCCATTTAGTCAAAAATTCTGCCCTCCCCTTTCTCCTCCTCTTCTCCCTACAGATGAAAGGTAACAGCTCTGAACCAGCAAAGAACATAAAATATAGGAAGTTTTGCTCAACTGATATAGCTATTCCAAGAAAAATGCAACTGTAAATCCCTGTCATACACATGCCTACTACTGAATATTCAGAACAGCAATATTAAATAGCTACCCAGGACTTCCTCTAACACTAACAAAATGTAATATAATTTTAGTTACTCTTGATTACTATTTGCTTGGGCACATTATTTCTCAAGAGATTTTAATTTAGGTAAGCATGTCAAATTATGCTACAAAGAAAACTAAGTAAATTTGTTTCTTTATAAATGTTTACTGTCTTCTAACACTGCACAACATGTAAGTGATCAAGATTTATTCCTCTGTCTAAAATATAGTAGCTTTCCTTTTTTTTTTTAATTTAAAATAAAAAGCAACATTTGAAGTGGGCAGTGGCTCCCTCTTTAAAAGAAAAGCAGTGGCTTAATGCTGCAAAATCTCTTCCTTTTCCACACATAAGCCCTGCCCATTTGTTGCTTAGTTTCAGTTATAGTAACTTACTTAGGTTATTGCTATGACTGACTGGATGGAATTTGCATTAACTGCATTCAGAATCAACTGCAGAGGTGCAACTGACTCATCTTGAATTCAACAAGATTACAAGTTTTCACCATCCACAACTGGATAGCTATGTTTTCCCCCTTTTCTTTATTAGCAGACAGAAGAGGTACAATAATATGTGAGATTCCAAGACTTTTGTTGCAAATGTGGTTTCCACTGACCTTTCTGGAAGTAGCAATTGCAGTATTACACAGGGATGCAGAAGGTTCTGATTTTGGTTAGGACAAAGGGGAATCTTCTTATGTATGAAGAGTATCACAGTCCACCAGCAAATTTCCAACCACATCACAAAAACACCACTAATTGCTCCATAGCTGAGACACAGTTGGGTTTAGTATTATCTCACACCTCCACGTGAGGAAAGGGATGCAACTCTTATTCAAAACTGCATTTGAATGTGAATTCACTGCATCTGAATTTGTGAAGCAAACAAAAACAACTGTTTTCTACAATGGCTACAATCTGCTGATACCTAGCGGACCTGAAAGCTCTGGCTTCCCCCATAAAACATGTGTAAGATACCAGATATCTTCTCTTTGCCAAGTAAATGCTCACAAGACTACACTCTTCTTGTCTAGCAGCCTAAAGCAATGAAGGATAGCAAATGTTCTTACAATAAACAGCTCTTGCCATACCAGGGCAACTGGGAGAAAGACATGAGTGCAGCCTTTGTTCTTAAAATCCACTGATTAGGTTTATGAAAATCAAACATGGTAAAACTATTTTGAAAGACTCTTGAACAGACTTCCTTCTACACCAAATGATACAAAGAAAACCCAACATTACATGATGAAGCAGGTAAAAATATGCAAGCTCTGTGGTTGATGCCATACTAGCCTGAGTAATAACAGGTTTACTTGCAGTCTTACTTTGGCTACCATTTAAATTTCAACAATTCAACAACAATTCGACATTTGCTGCTACCTATCTTGAAGCAGATGAATTACAGATGGCCATTTTTTTCTGAATTTCTATATCAAATACCAAATCTGTAATAGAACAAAGATGATAAATTACTTGAAGTGTTCTTCAATCACATGGGGCATTTTCTAAAACTAATATCAAGGTCAGATCTCTTTTATTCTGTCCTTATAAAATAAAAAGGAGGTTTTCTTAATAACACACAAACTAAATTATATTCATCTCTAAATTTTGTTTAAATACAGAAAAGCAAGAAACACCAATTCTGCATTACTTGGATACCAAAAATGAATTGCAATATGGCTCAAAAAACACAGTCCCCAAGCTGAACTCCTGATATATACAATGCCATAATCCACAGCCAACCAGGAGGCCATGCTACTCTGAGTGACCCGGTTTTGGAGACAGCATCTTGGTCATCTCCAAGATAAACAATGCCCTAAGCAATCTTAGAAAACTGTAAATGAACAAACACTGACTCTGCATTCCTCCAGAACAGGCTACCATCCCCATTTCTACAAAATATTGCTCCAAAACTATTATTCCTTATGGGTAACAGAAAGCACAATCCATTCGGAACACTTAGCAATCCCAATGACAACTCTGATCTGTGGAAAATTAGTTTGATCTACAAAAAAAAGGACAAAAACCTTCCTGAAGAGAGAGTTTTTCCAGAACTCTGTTCAGGACTTCTATGCCATCTCAATAGCAAGCCACGGTAGATTTTACGTCTGTCAAGACGCAAGTTTAGCATAATGTACACTAACCTTCTCACTAGAGATCACAAACCAATCAAGATCACAAACCAACTATGATAAACAGTAGTCCCACTGCCTATTTATTTTACTGGAGTAAAATAAATAGGCATTGCACTGGAGTGCATTGGAGACTCTAATTCAGCCCTGTCTCTGCAAGGTACACTACTCCCCAAGCAAAAATGGATGGATGTTACTATTCTGAAAGAAAAATTCTGCACTGAGGATGAGCTCTAAAGGGACTGAAGGAATACTAATTTTACATTCTACAGTTATCAGTGGTTGTAGACAATGTAAGGAACTTCTCTTTTTAGGCACTGAAATAGAGCTGCAAAGTCAGAATGACTTAGTCATTAAAAGAAGTAAGTCCTTTTTTTACATACATAAAACAGGATCTTAATAAGCTCAGTTGCATATAACAGAAACTAATTATCTTATCTGAAAATTATTAAACACAGACTTCACTGAAATGCTGAAAAACTATTTAAAACCATGTAAAAAACATAAAGGAGAGAATTAAAACCAAAATGCAGATAAGCAACAGGGATCCAAAAGTTCAGGAACTTTAATCTCTCTCTTTTCACAACAGAGGACTTGGAACCCACTCATGAGACCTTCATTCTTGTCCAGAAGGTCACTGTGCAAACTTGGGAGTTGGGCTGTGGCTCCGCATGTTCGGATCTTAAGGAGCAGGACTGAAAAGCTGTGACTTTGACTAAGAACCTAACACATGGGTGGGAAGAGAAGGTTTTCACATCAGCTGCTATATACTGAATTTTTCTTGCCTAATTTCCAGCTTATTCATGCCTTTTATCACAAAAACTGTCCAGAAAAAAAAAGAGAAAGGTTACTAGGCTTCAGCATCCACTAAAGACAAGCCAAAGGACAACAAACTATGAGGAGTCACAGTGGCTGACCTCTCAAGGGCTAACTCTGATACCCTGGAGCAGACAGCCCCAGTAGTGCTACAGGGACACAAATATGTGAATCTATTTCAAGAAACTAATGAAATAGTGTTTAAATCAACTCTATGCAGAATCACTCACACTTTTGAGTTTCTACTCACAAGCGACCATCACTGCAGCCTTACCAAACTAACCCACACTACTGTCTATGCTGCAGTTAATGGAGATTGTCAAATTCATTCTCTAGATCTGAGTATGTGAATAATTAACTCATTCTCTTATCCTCCTCTTCATAAGTCTTACTGAAATATGAGTAATAACACAAAACTCCTGTCCTAACTCCCATTTTCCCCTCCCTCTGTTACTGTTGCAGGGACTTCAGATTTAGACACAATAAACAGAGATTACATTCCTGTATTAAGGTGTGCCAGAAACCTGAGCTCTTTCAGCCACAGAAGTACTGTGACACATTCCCTCTAATTATTATGCAATATTACAGTCTTCTACAGCAGGAAGAGTAATTTCATGCTTAGGATCCAGCCCATTCACTAGAAGACTGTTATACAGCACTTTCATAAGGAAGGATTACTAATAAAAAAGGACTGGTGAGTTTAAAAGATAAAATAAGAAGCTTGTACAATTTAGCTTTACCACAACACTTGTATTTATAATCTTTTCACACGTGCACATTTTATGTGTCTTAGAAGCAAAATATAAGTACTTCTGTTTATTTACCTTATGTAATTATACACGAAAAGACTTAAAATCATTCATGTTTTAGAAATCTATATAATTTCCTTTTCTCAACACCAGAGATATCTGGCTCCCAATAAATGACAGAAATATCTGAATACATAACTCACTTAAAAAAATCTCCAAGGTTACAACTTCATTTATCCAGTTAGAAAACTCTGAAAATATTTGGTATGCTTAGAAAATAAAAAATATTTGCTTTAAATAAAAGTGAACTTAACCATCAGGTCAGGCACGTAGCATTCTAAAATACTATTTAGGGTTTACAGCTTAACTCTCCAATTTTATAATTTTTTTCTGAGAACAAAGAAATGGGGAAAAAAAAATCAGTTAACACACTCATCATACTACAGCTCTATATGCAACTGCATTAAAAGGTAAAACTTAAAACACGATGTACCTGCATGACACCTGGTAGAATGGATATCCTGGTAGAGGAAAAGTGTTTGAAAATCCAGACTGGCTCGACATTGCCTTCGGGTATGGTATCCACTTAAATCTCTTCTATGTTCCATATGCTAATTCCTTACTAAAAAAATATGTACGTACATATCCATCTGTACCTTTGTTCAAAGCTAACTAAAAAGAAAGCAAGTGCATATTTGAAGGTCTCGAGGATTCTGCCTGCTTCATTTCAAACTGCTTCCTCAGTAGTGAAATTCCTAAAAGCCAACACCCTCATGACATCACATACTACAAAATCATAAACACGCAATTGCCTCAGCGAGGCAAGGACAGCCCGTCGGTTTTGAGCCGAGCGAGAGCCCTGCACCGCATTCTTCCTGCGAGCACAGTGCCTTTCAGGCAGAGACCTGCTGCCTGGAACAGCAGCCCTGCTCTGGCAGGCAGCCAGCAACCAGCACAACTTATTGCCAATGCCGCAAATCCCTCCGATCGCCTCATGAAGAGCCACACTGCAGGTGAAACACCGTTTCAGCCCTTCGCAAGAATTTCCTTCCAAATGCACGAGATCCACGACCTTGAACTTGATGACAAAAACGTCATCGAAACATTTCAGTCAACTGTGCTCTGCGTACTATTGTTTTGTAAGCAAGATCAGATTGCAGTGCGCACCGTGGTAGCATGAAAAATCATCCTGAGCTTCCCCTGCTAAAGAAGAATCCTCTAATGCTACACTCCCAACTATGGAAAAAACAGGAGGGAAGGAGAGGAGATGGAATCTTAAATCACATTATTTAAGCTACTGAATATAGATATAAAATTATGTGTGTGCCTTCCTGCAGTATTTTACTACTGCTTAAATCAAAGAAATATCAAAAGCAACATTTCTTTTGGTACAATGGTAAGATACATTAAAGTTATTTGGGCATGCCTTCCTCAAGAGAGAAAGGCTATTGGAAAGCAGGAAGACATGTGAGTAGTCACAGTATTGCCCAGTGGCATAACTAATGTCAAATAGACTTAAATGATTATCTACCTACACTACTCTTAAGGAAAGTGTGCAGTGCCCGCACACATGGATTTCCTTAATTTAAGCAAAATTTTAAATAAAAGAGATTTTTTAAAATTATTTCATTACCTATGCTAGCTGCACTGGAAAACATTAAAATGTTGAGTTTACTACCTCTACCCCATGATACACTGCTTACTTTCATATTATTTTGTCTGAGTTTTGGAAAAAGAATAATCAGTTTCATCTGGTTTATCCTCAGTTTATAATCAACATTTCCATCATAAGAAAAATGGCACAAAATTCTGTCACTATCCCAGGTACCTTTTAAAGTCTGACTTAAAAGACAGATTACTGCATAGGGCTCCAATTCCTTAAATCTTATAAAAGTGCCAGGATACAAAGAGAGCACACAGTCTGCCCAAAAAAAAGTGGTTTGGTTTGGGTGGTTTTTTTGTTTTGTTTTTTATTTGCCCAACTGATAATCTGGAAAAACAAAGAATCTTCTGGATATGTCATTTGTCATTTTGAATAAATTTTTATCTCTCTCCTGGCTGTAAAGAACAAGCTTGAAAAGGCAGTTGAAGCACAAATGATATTGTGCTATCAGCTGAAATTTTACAAACAGACTTGAAAAAGCATCTCTCTCGTGTTTAGTATGCAGCACTCATGACTCTCAAAACCACTTGGGGAACACCAAAAAAAGTTGTGTGCACGTGAGAGGAAGAGAAAACTCTACTAAACCTGAGTTCCCTTTTCCTAATCAGGAATGTTAGGACAAATACTGGTAACTTCCATCCCCATGGCCACAGCTGCTGAGGGACGTGCCAGTGACTCCTCTGCACTGCTGTGCTTGGCCCTGAGCAGTCCCTTGTGTGTACACCCCTGAGACACTTGCACTTGTATTCCGTGTATCCTCTATGTGGTGTCTTCTTGACACTGATAACAGCAGCATTAGCACATTTTTGCAGTAACTCTCAACTCGAATAACTACTCCTAGCCCCAACTGGGATTTAGGATGTTTCCATTGGATTTGCCAGCTGGAAAAGAATGTTAGTGTCAAATTGGCAGATTACCGGCTTATAAATTAGGAGTCTTAGAGGTTGCCAGTGGCTTGCCATGACATTTTGCAAAAATCACATAGTCTCTTAATGCCTAGCTTATCCACATAATGAGGAAAATACAGCCTGACAGTAAAGGAATGATGTGAGGTTAATTTTTTTTTGTAATTAAGTATTGAAATCCTGTGATTAAAGATTTATGAAGGGATAAAACAGCTGTAGCATTTGAGGGAAAAGATGTGTGGGAATATTCAGAATAGAGCTTTTCTTTGCCTTTTGCTCCTACCTCTAACACAACAGAAGCCTTATTGCTCTGAAATTTCAATTTAAATACAAAAGCCATTTAAATTTTAAAACATGGTGGAAAGTGCAGTTTTCAAATGTGTAGACAGCATTCCACATCATTTAAAGATGGGGAAAAGTGAGATAGGCAGACAAAAACTGTATTAAGATGATCTTTCCAGAAGTGGAATCCTTCACTGGTAGGCATCACACCACTTCACTGGAAACAGAAAGGGAAAGTGTGGCTTAAGACAGAGAAAAGGGAAAGAAAATTTGGTTAGGACCAAAGAGAAAGCCTCCCCATAACAAAACCCTACAGTTAACAAATGCCCCTCTTCTTTAGTTCTACAAGCAGGGTGGAAGGCAGAACACAACTGCTTTTGGGATCCAGACCTAACTTGCCAAACACCACCTCCACTGAAAGAGACAAGTGGGTTTCATTCCAACTGCAGTCACATCTGTTGGAAATTTACTTCCGTGTTTCAGAGCCAACAAGCTCACTTAAAAATAACCACCTTAGTATTGTTTGGCATAGCATGCCATGTAACACTTATTACTCTGCAGGAACAAAATTAAAGCAAGAAAATAAGTTTGGGACACAAATACTGTGGGCTCCAGAATTTACATGACCTTAGTATGGAAGGAAGTGACCTGTTAGAGTATTTAATGCTGCTGCTTGAAAAGGTATGAAATACTCAACTGAGATACAACTCAAGTTCAAAAAGGACAGGCTGAAAGACTGGAGAAGAACAAATTCATGATATTTTCAGCTATTTCAAACAAGTAGCATCCTTGGTAAACTAATGGAATATTTGTTTAAAGCCAAGTCAGGCTGAAGAAGAAACCTCATAACTAGCAATCAATTTCATCAAACCTGGAACTGAGAGTATGCATTCTGTAGACAATTATGTGATTATATATCAAAATGTATATAAAATGTTCAGTATTCATAAAAATAGAATGAAGTGTCATGCAAAAATTACTGTAACATCAATACCATAAATCAGTAATTTACTCCCATCTGAAGTGTTATATTTGATATTTTCATTGCCTGTTGTATTAGTGTCTAATAAATTAGACAGTGAATTAGAACAAAACCAAGAAATATAAAATAAAATTACATGCAGTTTGAAAATAACAGCATTCACAAAGAAAATTTTACAAAGGTATTCAATATAATGAGCAGTACTTAGATGACATAACAGGAAGTCTTTCTCCTCCTTCCTGTACAAAACACAAAAATAAAGAAATATTCAACAATACTCAAGAATAATGGCAAATTTGCAAATGAAGAAGGACACTATCACTGGAAATTCAAACTCATCCAGAGTTAAAGAATAACTGGATATTTATATAGGGGAAAAACAAACAAACAAAATTCCCTAAACCCAAACAACCCAGAAGTGATGGCTGGAAGGAAAGAGGACTTATTAACATCAGTACTTTGGAGAAAAAAAAAACATGTGAGAAAGCCATGTAACCTCACTGCCAATGGATGTCTTCCTTATTCTTCCCTGAGACAGACTAGTGGGGTCAATGACAATGCATAATCTCTGCTGCACTCCTAAATTTGCTGGTCAAACAACTCAAATAAAAATTGTTTCTTTTGCTAATAAGTGTTAATAATCAGTAGAGTTCAAATCTCACATGTAGATAACAAGGAAAAGGATTTTCTTTTTCTTTCTTCTCTTTTTCTTTTGTTTCCTTATTTTTTATTTTTTTTTAATCTGACCTACCCAGCCTTTCACTGGCTAACACAGGGCCCAACTGCAAATTTAAAACTTCTCCTAAAGGAGATTTCACATAGAATTGTCTTGGATTGGAAGGGAACTTAAAGATCAACCCCCCTGCCCTGGACAGGGATGCCTTCCACTAGATCAGGTTTCCCACAGCCCCATCCAGCCTGGTCTTGAACACTTCCAGGGATAAGGCATTCACAGCTTCTTTGGGCAACCTGTACCAGTGTCTCACTAGCCTCACAGTGAAGAAAGGAAATGATGAAGACATCCTTTGTAAGGTAAACTGCCAACTCACTCTTTCCTGCAATCACACAGGCTGACAAGACTGATGGAACTCCATAAAGTAGAAACAGTAAGAGCCTTGAAGTATAAAGTATCTGAAATTTAAGGAATCTATTTCCATTAAGGATTTGTCCTTCAAGGAACAGTGAAGTAAAAGTAATGGGAAGACACAGCAGTAGGTTATATTTCAGGTATGGACACATTTCTGCATCCAGAGGCTTTGTCTTAAGGTCACAGAATCACTAAGGTTGGGAAAGGCCTCAAAGATCAGCGAGCCCAGCCTGTGACTGAACAGCACAAACCACAAACACAACTAAACCACAACACTCAGTGCCACGTCCAGTTGTTTCTTAAACACCCCCAGGGATGGGGACTCTCTACCACTTCCCTGGGTGGTCTGTTTCAATGCTTGACAGACTTTTCATTGAAAAATTTCTCCCTGCTGTCCCACCTGAACCTCCTCCAGTGCAGCTTGAGGCCATTTCCTCTTGTCCTGTCACTGGCTTCCTGGGAGAAGAGACCAATTCCCAACTGGCTACAGGCTCCTTTCAGGAAGCAGTACAGACCAATAATTCCTATATCTGAGAAAAAGTCTAGAATTTAATCTATATACCTGAGAATTCACAGTGGATTTACTGGACTTACATGTCCATTTGCTACCTTAGTCCTTTCCAGACATTCTTACTTGGATTAAGAAATCATATTTTTAACTTTTTTTTTTTTTTTTTTTCCCAATCTGGTACAAGAGGGAAGGACTTATTAAAGTCTTATCTAAACAAGATTTCTTTTTAGCCCAAACATAAAACTGCTCTTAGCTACTTTATTAGAAAGGCTGTAAAGATGTTCAGAGTCCAACACCATCACTCTGACTTGCAAGGCCACCTAACCAACATTACCCAAAAGCCATTCAGCTACCAGGAGTTCAGGGACAGCCTGCACAGCCTCCATTGACCTGACACATTCCAGTAACACATCAAGTCAAAAGTTCAGGCACTATTCACACATTGCCATTAAAACTCAAAGCACAGCATCACAGCCTCTGTGTCCAAACCAGAGGTGACATGCCTCCCTCTCTTTCATTCCTTCCAAGTTGGCACTCCACATTTATATGTGGCTGAAGGCTCCATTCCTTTTACTCTCCTCTGGGTGCTCAAGAGACAGCACGCTTCTTCAGGCTTTGCACATTAATACAGCCATCATCATTGATTTCAGTTACTCTACAGCTTAGGTAACTTTTACCACCAGTCACCCATGAATTCTCAAAATTCTCAATGGCTCACACATAGTGCATGATATCAAACATGGGAAAAAATCATGCACTAGCACTGAGATTAATAAACTGCAATCTGCATCTAGATGTCAGATAGCCAGTGGGTGTTTCTTTACTGTTTAGCAAGTGTTCAGGCAGAAGCCAAACAGCTCTTCATTGTGGCCAAAGGTTCTCAATTGATTCATGAGTAACTGAAGACGGCTGGCACCCTGCCTGGCAGAGAGATAACCCTGTCCTGTTGAACTAGAGCAGTGAACCCTCCTGCCTGCACACCCAAAGCCACAATGAGGTTGCTGTGTAACCAGGTGCCGTGTTTTCAGACAGGCCATTCTGCCCTGCAGCTGTCTGAACTAGCCTGCAACAATCTGCAGAAGGAACAAGAAAAATTCTTGTCAGCAGTAAAACATGAGGATGTCTTCTGGGGCAGGGAAGAACACCTGAGCTGTAAATTAACCTCCTGCAAGTCATGAAACAAACATAAAGCCATTGACCATGACCAAGACAAGAAAGGTGAAGGACCCTGCTAACAGCCTTGCCCTCCTCTCCAACTGCAATTCCAGCTGAAACAATCAGCCTCAAGTAACCTGCAAATGGAAACTATCTTCCAGGATTGGCCTGATCACTGGTGACAGTCTGAGGCACATAGACATTAGTTATTCTGTACCTGTGCACATCAAACAGCCTGTACTGAACATCCTTGAATTCTAACCTAGGTAAACTTTGGGGAATGATCTCACCTTTAAGTAGAAGGAAACATTACCCTCAGCCACCACATTCATTCACTCTCTATCATCCCCATGACCTTTACCCAGAAACAGAGCAAACAGCACCACAGCCATTACCAGCAAGGGGGAAACTGTTCCTCCAAGGAAAACAGGAGGTTCGCTCAACAGAGCAGGGATTTTTAAGGCCTGTACCTTCTACAGAGACCATTTCAGAGTGACAGTTCTATTTTCTGCTTACTGCCTTTGTAAATACAAGAGCATAAATCTTGTGCACTGTAGACTCAGCAGGTATTACACATTTCAGTTCAAAGATAATGTGAGAATCAAATTACAGTCTCTCACTGTATGAAATAATTACATATTCTTAAATCTGAAATGACTTTTATAAAAACTAGAAAAATAGCATTCATGAAGATATTACATCATTATATATAGAGAGAAAAAAAATAAACATGGAGAGCCAGAAATGGGATTAAGCTACTTTATTCTACTTAAAAATTAAATTTACTGGATAAATACTTCCTGTCAAGTGACACGAAAATATTCACTAGAAAACTAACAAAAATGACTGAATTTGAAAGAAACCAAAACAAACAAAGCCAACAAAAAACAACAACAACCAAAAAAAAACCCCATAAAAACTGCCTCACACACCAAAACCCTGAGTCAGCCAAATAAATTTCAAAGGAATCAACTTTTTCCAAAACCAAACAGGAAATCTAGGATTGCATAATTACTGAGCATGCACGCAAGTATATTGGGCTGAAGTGACTTCACTGGAACAGTCACCTCAAACACATGTAGAAGTCAGAACACTGATATTATAAGCAATTTTTTTAATTACTTTGAATTTAGAAAGCAAGGTTACTTTCTATCATGACACAAATATTAACTTGTGTGATCTACCAGAACATAGCAAATTTCTCTCTCCACAGACACAGTTTATTAATACAAACTATTTATGCCTATTTAATGGCAGTCAGCTTGCTGGCCCTCGATGATGCTCCAGATAATATATTTCTTTTAGGACTGCAGATACAGACAGGGAGTCTATTTTTGAGGTTCAGGATAAAGCAAAGTCTTCTGCACAAGTGTGATTCTTAATCAAGATGTATTTTAAATTAACAGCCTTGATAAATTCTTATCTGTAATAATAACCTATTCAAAATTCAAACTAGCAAATAAACTGTAACTACAATGCCTTGCAAAGGGTGCAAATCACCTATCAGGTAAGAGAAAAGTGTCACAAGTAGAGGCAAATGTAACACTGTCACTTCACTTTTAAATTGGCATTTTGCGTAATTCGATGTGCCTCCAAAGAACAAAAGTAAAAAGCAACTGTTGGGTGTAGAAACTTCTGAGGTCAGGGTGATAAATTAAACCACTTCCCAAATAAGCTTTCCTAATTAAGGCTTCTAAACCAGAGCTGGCTTGCTTTCAGTTATTACCACTGTTACAAGTAATCTGAAACATTCTTGATAAAATATTTTTAGCATCAACACCAGCATATTAAAACCAGTTGAAGGTCATAAGGATGAAGCAAATAAAAGTTCACACTCAGGAAAATATCAGATTCATTCCTAAAACTACACAGAAGTGCTCTGAAAACTCCCTACTTAAATCAGTTTCAAGATTTCTTTATAGTTATCAACTTAATATCTGTTAATTAAAATAATAAAACAGCATATCCATCCATTCCTGGATTCTATCTACAGGATTTTGCTTCCTCCTCCCCACAGGTACACCTGGACTACTAAGAAGGGTGAGTTTTCTTTTGTTAAAAGACAGAAACATTGTATACATAGTTTTATTCAATTTTATGTCTTCCCAACCTCACCAAAGAAATATTTAATTTGTTTAATTAGACAGATGGCACTTTTTATGATACTTGTATTTGCACTTAAGAAATTTAATTTGCATAGCAATATTTTTATTTTCTAGGTCAATTCATGTCCCAATAAATGACAATTCAGGACTAGAAACTGAAGTATTATTAAATCTATTCTCTGAAATGTAAATATTTCATAATAGTGTTTTTAAGCAGTGAACCAGTGAAATTCTTCATTTTGTGTTGGTGTGCAAACTTTTGGCATTTTCTTCTACATTAATCTACATAAATCTCAGAAAAAAACAATGCTAAAGAATCCTTTACATCCCCAATACAGCAATCTGTTACGTGCTTATTATTTCCATATTATACCCAATCTTGAAGTGGAAGAAATTAAACATAATCATGACATTATACAATGCACATCTGACCCATAGTCACACTGTTAAGAACTGAACAGATTGCACAGAATTATAAAAGAACAATGATATTTGCAAAAACAACCAAAAAAATGAAGTATCTAAAAGCACCAGGAATGGCAACACACAAGGTAACAGGGGCCATGGGCTTTCAAGGACAGAAGATGCATTTGTGTGCAAAACAGACAAAGAGGACATCCTTTAAAATGTACACTGACTTACATACACACAAAAATCACTGATTATATTTCAATTAATCCTCTGAAGCCTGTGAGATGATTCATGTTTATAACACCTGAACACCTAAACTCAGATGCTTTGTCAAAAGAGAAGGGTTTTTTTTTTTCCTCCCCCTAAGAACAACAAGGACAAAAAGGTGAAGGATATGGACTGAAACTTGGCCAACGAAACCTATGACTCAGCATTGCAAGAAAAAGCCAAGGTATGCCATGATTTGATTTGTAACTGATCTTTGGGTTGCTACAGCAACTTCATTACTTCAGAAGATATTAGAAATACTTCCATTCTTCATCCCTCAAAATCTGTTAAAATGCTTTGGAAATCATTCAAATACTTATTTTCTTTGGTAAAAATGAATTATCTATTTGAATGCTAAGTCTACAAGGACCAAGAAACCAGAATTTTTCACAAATCTGGAATGCAGCTACTGAGAGAATGATCTGACATTTGCTGCCCTAATTATTGAAGATAATAGCACTCAACTATCAAACAGGTATTCTAATCCCAAAGCAAACTTTGCAAAGCATGTCACTAAGTAAACAGTACACATTCAGAGTTTCAGGATGGAAAACTCAAAAGGGTTAGCAAGACATCAGTACAAAACCCTCATATTGCCTCAGGCATTTAGCACACAGCACACCTGAAAAAATACAGTTTCAAATGAAACATTACAAGCTTGTTTTTGGGTTTTTTTTAATGACTGAGCACTGATACATACCTAAGATAGTTCCTTTTCAAAACACTGTTTGCAGACCCGTCAGCTCCAGTCAGCCATTAAGAGTTCTCATAATTAAGCCTGAAGCACCCATAAGCATTCAAAAGTGAAGCACGGTCATTAAAAAGGACCATGCTTGCACTCTCCCTGTTAGCTGGGAAAAAATTCATTAATGCCTTGACTCCTCTCTTTCTGCCCAGGGAAAGAAAGAAAGGGGAGGGAAGATCAGAGCAGAATACCGCCTACATTGCCATCGTTTCCTCCCAACAACAGCCACACAGAGGAAAAGGACCAAAACTAGTCTCCATACTGGCTTCAGTGCTTCAGCCTGGCTTCAGAGAAACAAACCAGAATTAATTTGATTTATGTAACTGATGTGAGTGACATGTGGCCTTTCCTTGACCACATCCACTCAGTGTCATCATTCTCTCATGTGTTTTGAGATAAAGACAATAAACTTAAATCTAGATATATCAAGAAACCATAATTATGATATTATATCCCAGGTAATTCCTAAAATCAGAAAACAGATGTTTAAATGATGCATCATTCTAATTGGCTCTCAGCATTTGTCCCTAGCCACACAACTTCTGTGGTGGAGACCACAGCAGCTTTGCAGAGTTAAGTTTGCAGACAACCACCTTCTGGGCTTCCTCCCATTTAGAACAAGTTAATCAGCTTGTTCTGTAAAGCCAAATTAAATATATTATTTCGGGAAAATATCCCTACTCTGATTAATTACTTGAAGCAAAACACAAACAATTATTGCACTCATAATTTTAATGAAATTCTTGTAAAATTGGAGTACTTTGGGAGTACACATGGGAGGATTAAACCTGTAAATTTCTCCTCAGATGTATGAATTAAAAATCTCTGCACTTTGGTGAGGTATGAAATTTATTAAAAGAGCATTGACATGTTCCATGACTCCTACTTCAAAGCAACTAAATTATCAGGAATTACTATGTTTTGTTCTAAAACTGCCTTCAAAATACAAAATTACTTCTAGTCTAAGTGCTTCAGTAATTTTACAACTTTCCTGTTACAAACTTCCATACAAACCAATCAGAAAACTCACTGTTAGTGCTCTTGGTAACTAAATTTTGTCTCAACAATACGCTGCGTTAAAACAATTACCTAACGTGTAATGCTAATGTAAGTAGGTCACATTGTTTGCATTAGATTTGCCTTAAAATTCTTCCTAATAAATCTAGTTGCAAGAGACGAGCTTGCTTTATTTTCTCTAAAAAGCTGTTAATTTAAAATTAAATATTAGGCAACCCACAGTCTTTGAGAAATTCAACACATTGCCTGCCACTTACATCAAAGCATATATATTTTATATGAGTTCTGTTTTGCTGCAAATACACAGAGAAGCCTTTGTCAAAATATCATCAGTTACAACTGCATGACTGAAATTCTTCCTGCATTTGGGAGCAGAAGGGGGCTGAGGGGGGGGGTGTCATTTATCACCAAGTTGCTGCGACTTTACTCTCACTGCTGAATGCAACACAATAAGAGGCAAAACCACCATACTCATTTTACTAAGGGATATAATTCTAAAAATAAGATAAAAAAATCTCTGAGACTGCAAGCCTTGTTTCCTTTCCTGTTCACCAAATATATATGTGAGAAATTAAACCTTTACCTAAACTTATATTTTCCTCATCACCACAGGATCAAAAACTTCAAAAGTTTGGGAATAATCCAACTACTCCTTACTTACCTTATAAATGAGATATGAAAATACATGCAAAGAAGTAGTTCTAGGAGTAAATGCTATACAAGTACCTCCATTAAAATATACCAAGAGGTGAGATCTATCACGTAAGTGAAAATCTACCCTAACTCAACATTTGTTTTCGATTAATTTACATTTAATTGCAGGTGCTCACAAAGTTTAAAAAAGGCAACATTGATCTCTGCTCACTGCAGAATATTTTAATCTGGAATCATATTAGACAGTCACTTAGACAGTAAGTTACTTTTGCTTTGAAATAATATTTACATAATGGTACACCAGCAAACAGGCCCCAGACAGCTCTTCCTAGGGGCGCATTAGACCAAAAACAAGCAACATCAGGAAGAAGCTGTTGCCTCTCAGCTGAGCTGACAAACTTTCACTCTTCAACTTTATACAAATGTAGCAGTAATTACTCACTTAACCTGACACCAGTTCCCACATTGTTCATTCCCACAGACTACATGGGGCAGAAGGGGATGGATGTCTTCCTGCAGTGCTACATGTAATTGCTGAAACCCCAGTGTCCCTCCCGTCCTCCCAACAGCTTTTCAGGACCAGCCAAAAATGCCTTTTCCACACTGAGCCACCATTAAAATCAATGCTTACAATCCCAGGCTGAAAAGGGGTTTTTGCGTATATATATGTGTATGTATGTATACATATGTATAATATATGTAACCAACCACTTCTCAAATTCCCCCAGTTTTCCCTAACACCACTTCACCAGTCACAGTTGGCAACTCACTCTTTTTCTCCTCCATTCTCCAATACTGCTATTGCATCCCCTGTCCCTAACACCTTCTGAATTTAGGAACTGTCTGTAGTATGAAAACTTGTAGTCATAACCAGGCTTCTGTAAACCAGATTTATTTTTTTTTTCCCCCATAGAAGACTAGAATATTCTGGACATTCCCAGTGGAAATATTACTTCTCAACCTGTTTTGAGTTTTATTTTGGCTTCAGGGAAAATACTGTTTCATATCTTCATGACCCCTCAAAAATCAGAATTGTCTCATTACCAAGAAGCACACAACTTTTTACATGCTAATTTTAAATTCTAAAAGGGAATAGGTGATGAATGTACTAAAAAAAAGAATGAAACAAGACCACCTCTTTTCCCACAGCACTTAGATTAAAAAGCTAAAGATCGCAATATTACTTCATGGTTACTTTAGTACACCTGAACAGTGTTCCCACTTAAAAAACAGGGATGGAAGGGGAGACATTAGTCCTTAATGATGAGAAAGGAAGTATTAAGTATAAAATGAGACACACTTTTTGAACTTCCAAAGGATTGCTATACTAAGTCAACAGATGGGAACACTAAACTATGGAATCCGTGCTGCTGGCCTTTGAAGAGAGGAGAACAAGACTGCACATAAGGTGCCTGAAGATTTGTGGACCTGTCTTCCAGCTGGGGAACATCATCTAAAACAGAATAGACACCATATGTATCAATATGCTAAACACCTTTTCTGAACAGAGAAACACTCTGAAGCCCTGTGAAGCTGTCTGAACAGTTTTCATTAGGTCTAAGCTTTTGGCATAGAAAACGTAATTCTATAAGAAGCTCGAATTAAAATCATAATGGCTCTACAAATATTTAAAAACACGAGAAAAAAAATCCCTTCAATGGACTTCTTTAAACCAAGAAAACATACCCCTTAAGCATGGCATGTTTGGTACTATAAAGCAATTAGGGCTGGAATACCAGAGAATATGAAACTACTACCCTTCAAGACTAGACTTTAGATACTTCAAATTCTGATTCATTTCTATCTAACATCCTAAAATGTCAAAGCCATTCCCAGGTTACTTATGTTCCAACAGATTAGTTTTGCCATTTAAGACAGAGAAAAGCACTGTAATTCCACTAGAGAAGCTTCCAAGTGCTTGTTCAACTTAAAGACACACCGTAAACCTCACAGCATAAGTGAGGTGTTATTATAGGAGACTTTTCCTTCTGCATTGCATGCTAAAAACAGCATAATAAAGGTCTTAAAGACTATAGAATACATTCTCTGGGTTTTAATTCAAAATGTCAGAAGTATACTGCAGGCTTCACCGTATTACTTTTTTTAAAATTAATTATCAATAACACAGAAACACCAGAACTCCCTAGATTCACTTTTACATCTCATTCCCAAATGCTTGAGCTCAAAAGATTCCTAAATATTTTTTTAACCAATTTAATTATCTAAAGTGTGCTACTAATTCTGTAAGCATGCTGAAGAACAGTTCAAAGGTGCTTCAACAATCTTAACTGGGAATCATTTAAATGATGAACAAGTACCACACTGCAGGAAGAGCTATTTGTAATAAAATTTCCTCATGATGGCAGCATAAACCATTCCGATGAAGTGCTAAATGACAATGCACATTCCTACTCATACAGAAGTGAGACCTCAGCTGCCTCACTACCCATTTTCCCCTCTTCACACTGCCTTTTTTACACTACTTTATAGTCTTCAGATTTAGCCCCCAGAATTCCACAAGAGTATCATTCTGCTTCACACATACAATTTATGAAGAAAGATAAGGTACTACCCTACAGACTGTTTTGAGAAGGGATAGTTTTATGCAGCTTCGCCATGCATTCGACTATGCATATTCCATTCTGAATTCCAAATGGATTTTGTATCATTTGTATATTCTACTTCTGGAGAGTCTGACACCTGCACAGTCTACACATCTGTGTGAATTGCTAAGGCAATGATTCAACCGAGATCTATTAAGTTCTTCTGAAGAAAGATCTCCCATCAAGGTCTGTTTCCTCTTAATGTTTCTGCGCTACAAAAGGACAATACCATGACTTGCAAGATCCCATTGCCAGAAGGATTCTGAAAATCTGACACCTCATCTTACTGACCTTCCCCTGTGTACAAATCACTGAGATTTATAGGCAGTTGTATACTTTTATACGGCATGAAAATCATTGAGATCAAAATGTGCATAGATTTCAGCTTATCAACAAATTACCATTAAGTCTGTGTTGATTAAGAATAGGTTTGAGATTAAAAAGATCATCATGCTTAGAAAGACTTTGTTTAAAAGCTATTACTAGTGCAAATCATTATGTACTGCAAGCGTGGCTTTGCTGAGGCTCCTACTTCCAAAATCACATTGCTTGAAATTGAAATGGTCAGCCAATGTCCCCTCCGATCAGTCACCACAAGTTGTTCCTTAACCAAGTTCTATCAACATAATCTGACTTTTTCAAACCATACAGTAGAGTATAAAGGAACCCAGATCACTGAGACAGCAGCTGATGAAGAGAAAGCATAAACAGGTATGTTTAGCTGATCCAAGGGGACAGTAAGCTCCTAGAGGAGAAAAGACGGACCAGTAAGAATGACTCAGGCTCCCAACCTCCTGCTTAGTTCCAAGTTCCATATTTGTCTACAGCCTTTAAAATGGCACTAAGCCCCCACTCGCTTCTTAGAATGCCTACAGAGTTTAAAGACCAGAAGTGTATCTTGATTAACTTCAATTTCACATTAATGAGTACCTCTGCTTAAATACACCTAAAAACCTTACCAATTTGCAGGTTTACACTCTCAGTGATTAATTTCCAGCTGCTTAAAGGAAGCAATCTTGAGACTCCATCAAAATTAAGATAAACTGGCACTCACCCTACTTCTTGACATTCAACACTGGAAGAGCAAACATCCATAAAAAAAGGAAAAATGTAGGAGTTGCAAGTCTGGTTTAGATAGAAGAGAAGCTAGGAGAAACACAAATGAAAAATGTTTCTAACCCATGAAATACAGGATAGATATATTTGTTCTGGCTTGGCATTCCTGGACAGAGCAAACATTGTTGTAACACCTAAAAGCAGCAGCGAAGGCTTTTTGGCTGTAGTTAAGCTTTTCCTATCTCTTTTCATGTCTTGGCAGTTTTATCTACACTATGGTAAGAAGGGTGGTTAACACTGATTTTCTCAAATCTGACTCAGATTACACTGATTGAAAAGACTGGCCATATCTTAATTTGAGGGTTTACAATAAGAAGATTAAAACAAACCAGCAGCATCTTTGTTTTTAAGCACTACACTCACTAAGCAGCAAACAAGTACCACATCAGAGAAAGAGTAGCTGTCATTACACCCCATCTCCCAAACACTAATGGTTTCTAAGAGAATTATCATTCCTCCAGAAACCTCCAATTTTCTCCATACACCTTTACAGAACAGCTATTCTGGCCAAGACAGCAGCAGGGCTTTACCACATTTCCTCTGCTTAACAGAATTTTTCAAATGAGCAGCAAAGCTTGGGAGCAGCTGGAGCTTCAGAGGAGGACTGCCTCATTATCAGTAGCAAGCAGCGGAGTAGATGAAGCAGAGAAAAAAGCCAAGTTCCCCATTTGAAGGGACAGTTACTTGGTTTAAAAATCACAGCCTAAAATCAAGACTCTGCTGCTGGTATGTACATCTGTTTGCATTATTATATAAAAACAACATAATAGGAGTCCTGTATCAATT